AGCGGCTCCTTTTGTAACAGCGAAGTGAAACTCCGGTCCAAGCTAGAGTTGAAAGCAGCAAATGGGAGGAACACGGCTTCCGCTTGAACCCAAGCAAGCTTCTCGTAGCATTTGATGAAAGGAAGGACGACCTTGACGCGTACCTTCACCGATTTGAGACGATTGCGAGGAGCCAGAATTGGCCGGAACATCAATGGGCAACTGCTTTGAGTACTTGTTTGAGTGGTGAAGTGCTCAGTGTGTACGGTAGGCCGACACCTACCGATGCAGCCAACTATGCAAAGGTGAAAGCTGCTTTACTGAAGCAATTTAGATTTACTGTGGAAGGATTCCGGGACAGATTTCGGACAGGAAAGCCAGCTGATGGTTAGACGGCTACGCAGTACGCCGCCCGGCTTTGCCATTATTTCGACAGATGGATTGAACTTTCAGGGACAGCGCAGGAGTATGATGAGCTTAGAGAGCTCCTAATTAGAGAACAATTTCTGACTAGTTGCCACCCAAGCCTGTCGCTGTACTTGAAAGAGAGGACAGTGAAGTCACATGAAGACATGCTTGAATTAGCTGACCACTTCTTGGAAGCGCAAGGTGGCACTAATTTGGCCAAGGTCAAGAAGGAGTGTCCTGAAGATTCGAAAAATTCGACACCCGAACAAAAGAAGCGTTTACCGGAGAGTGTTCCGCGATGTTTTCTGTGTAACCGAGTGGGTCATCGCGCGAACAACTGTCGCACTAACGTTACGAGCCCTACTGTAGTAAAATGTTTCAATTGTGGTCAGACTGGGCACAAAGCAGACGCATGTCGTAATGGAGCGAGTCAAACTCACCAGGTATCCTGTGTGCTAGCAGCGCCGAAATCCGATGGCGGTGCCGTCACCGACGGATTCGTAGAGTTGAAAAATGGGGAGAAAATTCCTATTGTGGGTGCTGTAATGTCAAAACAGCCAACCGGTGTTACGAAGGGAATGCCAACGCTGCCTGGAAATGTTGCGGGCAAAAAGATTACGCTTCTAAGAGACACCGGTAGCTCCACGGTTATTGTGCGGAGAAATTCGGTACGGGAAAGTGAGTTGACAGGCAGAATGAAACCGGTTTGCCTAATTGACAGGACGGTTCGGATGCTTCCCGAAGCAGAAATTGAGGTTGAAACCCCATACTTCAGCGGGAAGGTTACCGCTCTATGCATGACGACGCCCCTGTACGACCTCGTCATCGGAAACATCGACGGGGCGTGAGGGACGAATGATTCAGAACGTTTGGGGGAAGACCCGAAGATGGAGCCCCCGCCGACACAGAAACCGTGAGGCACAGTGGAGAAAACCCCCGTGAAGGATTTCACTCGAGCCCGAGGGGAAGCCCGGGTACAAGAGACAGTGAATGAGAACATGATCGTATTGAATGAGTTTACGTGCTGGGCAGCTGGACTTACGTCGGCACGACCTCAACCGACCGACAGTGTAAAGTTGACGGAGTCGGCCAGCCAGGCCCGATGCCGTGACATGAACAAGCCGGTAAATAAACAGACAGGACCCGTTGAACGTTATGACCCGTTAACGGTGTAGGAAGTGACAACGATGGCTGAGATGCCACCTCAGATACCATCGGAGGAAAGGGCTCGCCGGAACAAAACGAGGAAAAACAAGAAAAGATCGAGCGAGCACCGCAAGAAAGGGCGCAAGCGCCACTCAAGGTACACAGGATAGGTGCTGAGGTGGAATCAGAATGTGTTTGGCAGTGCTGAGTGCCATATGTTGTGTTAATTTTGTGTTATCCTGTGTCACAAGTGTCGAAATGTTGTGCTGTGACGTGATGTATAGTATTGTGCAATTGTTGTAATGAGATAACTTTGTACATTTGTATTGTTTGGAATATGGAATGGAGTGTTGTACTCATGTACCTGTGGCTATATTCATGTGTTGTCTGATAGAATTACAATGTAGAATTGTATTGAGGGATCTATTGTGAATGTGACGTGTCATGAGCGACGGACTATGTTACAGTCTTTGAGAGTGTGGGGACTGCTCGCGCTCGTTTGTGTGGTTTTGAATATTATGAGATAATATTCTTAAAGTGGGGGGCAGTGTCACAAAACGAGCGCTCAAAAAAGGGCGCGCCGCCAAATTCTCGCGACGAAGCGCCGAGAGGTCCACGATAAAAAGAAAAGAAAACAAGCATCCACAGACTCCCCGGGCGCGCGTCCTTCTCCCCTCTCGGAAGCGTAGGTTAGCCGACGAACCTCCTTACCCCACATCGGCGGCCGAGCAAGCCCTGGAAAATTCTAGATGGAAAGAGGCGTGGTGATGCCGGGTTGCGTCATCCGTCGCGGACGGCCTTCGAACCGTCTCGCCCTCTCCCCAGCCATCGCTGCGTATCGCGCCGACGAAATGATGAGAACTTTCTAGAATCTCACGCGGAAGGTATTTAACCGAGCAGCGGAGATGGGAGATCAGCAGAAGAAGGAAGTTAACGCCAGAGTGCGTAAGTTATACCGCCGTGTAGTCGATGAAGGTTATGTCCTTAGTGACAAAGCAGGAGAAGAAGGTATGCGCCAGAGATCGTAGGGTGTTCCGCCTTGTGGGCGAAGCCTTTTGTCTTCCGTGACAAAGGAGGAGAAGAAGAGGATTTCCACCTGAGGGGTGACAACTCGAGCTACAGGCAAGCGTGTGTGTCTACCGCTATCGAGCGAAGACGCGTGGCAACAGCTGCGAGTGTGAAGCCGACGTGTTTCCGGCGAAGAGGTTTGAAGCTTGGAGAGCGGCCAAGTGAAGACGTGAGGTTTCCTGGAAGAGAAACTTCGGGGGCAGTGGAACGACAGGGGTTTCCTGGAAGAGAAACTTCGGGGGCAGCGGAACGACAACAACGCTGGACTTTGAGTGAGTGATTATCGGAAGAGTATCATATCGACTTATGTTCCAAGAACTTTGGACTGAATAGGTTTTCTAACTCTTTAGTCTTTAAGTGTATTGGTTGTTCAATGCATGCGACTGCATTGTAGTGTGTATTGTTGTCTGTGTCCGTTGTTTCGAGTGTGGCTGATTGTACTGTGTAGTACGTTGTTTGATTGGTGACATATTGTACTCAACTATTGTGGAGTGTGCATACATGTGTATTGTTTTTGATCTGCCATTATTGAGAATATAAATTTGTTTTGTTTATCAACTCTCGGCTCTGTCTTGCTCTTTGGGCCACAGCCGGCGTCCGCTGGCGCGCCAAAAAGGACCACTTCTAAATTGTGCACGCTTTCGTAGTGCGGTTCGTGGGGCCGATACTTCGGCCCTTGGAATTAGCCCAGCGATCGCCTCCCGAATTAACGGGACCTGTGACATGTGGTAAACACGAGAAAGGCAATGCGATATTTTTACCCATCAGATAGAGGGACATTAAGACTTTTCTGTTGGTGTTTGCGAGGAGCTGCATGCAAGAAGAAGCATAAAGGGAGAGAGGAAGCGATAGAACGGGGCAGTGAGAAGAAAAAATAGCCTAGATGATCTGGCCGGAAGTGAACCCCAGACACCTCGTGATTTGCTGACGACTTCCTCCCAAACTTGCGGTACCTTTTGCCTGAGAGCGCTTATATGCTCGGAGGTTAACGAAGCGTTTTGATCCGAAATCAACTTACGATGTAGTCCTGCTAGCCTGCGGCAAAGTGCAGAGGCAATTTGGGAAGCATTACTAGTATCTAGGCAACGAACTAACCAATAGCGAAGCAAGAGCCGCAGTTTACAACACCCCCATGAACGTCAAAGTACCGTATTCGCAAAGCGACGTCAACGCATTGTTGAGATTGCTCAAGCGTGAAGGCGCTGCCACTAATTGGTCGCAACCAGATCATCGCAACAAGCGTCTGCGGGAAGCAGAAAGTAATATGACTTTTCGCCTTCCGGCTAAAGTCAGCCGAAGACATGCTAGTGTGCTGCACCGGAATTCGCCTGGGCGTTGCCTTCACTCGACACTACGTCCGCCTAATCGACCGTGTCGACAGCCGGCATTGTGAGCGCTGCCAAGTGCGCGAAACTGTGACCCATATATTTTGTACTGCCCATTACACGCGACTCAAAAGATGCTAGCTTCAATGTTGGCGAGCATCGGACGAATACCACCTCGTGATAGCCACATTTTGTCAGCAATCTGTGACCAAACAACAAAAAGTGTCAAAAACTGCTACGAGGGTAATTAGACTTTATCAAACGAACTGGACTAGATACTAGGCTGTAGGGTTCAATGCTAAGTTGCTACTCTACATACGCACCACCTCTCCCCGTCTTATCATCGTCCTTCATCGCTCTTCCCCCCTTCCCTTATTCCCTGTCCACAACAGGCTAGAGCACACAAGCTCAGGCCAACCACACTGCCTTCTAATCAATCCTCAATCTCTCTCTTGCGCTGAGACACACTCAGCTGACAGCAGTCAGTCAGTTCATTCTAAAAAAATATATAACAAAAGATGAGGATGTCAATAGTAGTGGTAAGTCAAATTTCATACCCTATGCTGTAGGTGACTAGGAAGGCTGCCCTAGAAAGAGGAGAACGTAGATGCACATAGAGAGACTCCAGGAACAAGGATATGAACTCACAGCCAGTCATGATCTCCACGCACAATGGCGCAAAGCATCAAGTGCTTTACGATACATACCCAAGGAGGTTCTGGAGTGGAAGCGCCTGCCCTCTGGTGACGCCGACGGCCGCCATGTTGCTCCAGGCAAAAAACGTGCCGTCGGTCGTTTGGGCCCCCGCCGTTCGCGCCACTGAACAACAGTTGTCGCGTTTGTCCCTCGTTCTTTTGTTCTGTGCGGATTTTGTGCAGTTCTAAAGGAAGTTGACACGATTCCGGACGTTATGGTGAGCTCGTGTGTCGCCTTCGGCTGCACTAATCGTGCGAAGCAGAAGCCAGGAATCACTTTTCACGTGTAAGTACGCGGGAAAAAGCGCTTTCAATCGCTTGTCTCCTTCGGCGCGCTACCTCATTCGAGAAGCGCGGTTTCAGCTGAAAACTTACTTTCCTTTGACAGGACGGGCCAAACGACCAGACTGCGACCAGGGAGCATTCCTACCATTTTTCCTGCGTTCCCTGCGCATCTCCAGAAACCAGTGAGTACCATCACGAATGTACATTTTCGTTACGGTAAATAGGCTATAGATTTCCGAATGTGTAGGCACAGTTTCTCGTTTCCTACGTGCTGTTCAAAATCACACCACTCTCTGACAAAGCGCACGTCACGTACACTTACTTGTCCAACTTTTTTTTTTCACTGTGCGTGCATAAATACGGGCACGCTAAACTTCCGCACCGAAACTATAAAAACATCCCCGAGGTAGTAATCCCGTTTCTAGTCAGTCTAAGCAGTGGGTGGGACCATTATACCCGGCTTCTGAACTTTGGAGCATAACTGATTTTTTTTTTCTTGCAGGCGAAAAGAAAGCGAGAGGCCCCTAAGTGTCGGACTGCGCTGTCACCTGTCGTCAGTGCTGAGGCAGCGGTTGAAATGCCATCTGAGCCTTCTTCACCGGCGAAGGATTGGTACCGTTCCAAGGCAGAGGAGTCTGCACAAGAGGTTCTCCAACTAAAGAAGAAAGTTAAGACACTGCAGCAATCCAAAAGAAGGCTAAGCAAGCGGTGTGATGCGTCAGAAAATTTGATCAAGGAGCTAAAAGAGAGGAAACTTTTGTCAGAAAAAGGCCTTGAGGTCTTTGAAGCAACTTTCTCGCCTGAAATTCAACAGCTTCTTGTCCGAGCCCATGGCGCCATCGAAAGACGTCTTGAAGATCTGCCACACTGTGGAGAAAGGGCTTCGTGCCCTACAGGTTCAATGTAAGGACCTAAAATCGTTGCATGCAAACAGTGATCGCCTCATGGTAGAGGTGTTAACGGAGGTGTTTGAACAAGCATTATTTTCTGAGTTAGAGCCTCATCTGTTGGACTGCGATCCACTCGACAATCACATCTACGTTTTGGCGAAAAAGATTGCCAACCTGTATATAACAATCAGGCTTCACCACATTTCCAAAGAAATCAACCGCAAGAACTCGCGCAGTGGGGTACGAACCCAGCTGACAAGGACTATTATATTTAAAAATCTGTAAGGTACAGATGAGAACCAGCGTTGAACAAAGCGGAGCAGCTGGTATATTCTATATTTTTTGCAATTTTAGTGTGTTGTTATAGAGTTGCCTGATATAACCTGCGTTTTGGGAATCAGGCCGTTTTCGTGTGAATTGTTTCTGTTTATTGTATGTGCTTTTGGAAATTGTATAAAGCCTTGAATGAATAAAAACTCATATACCCCTGTGTTGCTTCCACCGTGAGCCTCATTTCGAGAATTGCAAGCGAATCCGCACTTACAGCAGCTAACCGTTGTAATGCATATTCGCTAATACGTAATCGCGTACGGCTCACGTGTAATATCGTAACTGACGGCTTTGTACAGATCTTGTTTATCTAACACGAAGAAAAAAATGCGAGTGAAATTAATTACACTAAGTGCCCCGTTTCATTCGGAAAAGCCGCCACGGAAGCGCGCTGGATACGTTGTCTGCGCTCTCTCTTGCCTGGAGCAAGATGGCCGCCAACCGGTTTCCCCGGCTTCACCCGCTTGCGTAGGCGTGAATAGGGGACCTCCACTCCAGAAGTTTTTTTAAACCTCCTTGTACATACCACTGTTGGCTGAAAACCGCAACAACAAATTCTTTGTTCGTAAGAACTCCAGCACGGCGTTCGTCGCCTATTCAGTGCAACCTACAAAATCACAAACATCAGCTCAAGTGTAACGATAGACACCTCCCCTCCTCGTAGCTTCCTTTAGTGGGGGTATGCATTATTGACCACCCCAATCTATTGCAGTTATAATGGCCGGATGTGCAAAGAGTGGCACAAAATCATCGTGCATAGCGTAAACAGCAGTTGCCTAAGTTGCTGCTCGTGAAGTTTGCGTTGGCCTGTTTTTAGGACACGCCTTAGTAGGAGCCTTGATATGTCACACCTCGATATATCGTATGAGACACACCACAGATACATACACTGACACGTATACACACATGCTGTTTTACTCGTACATAAACGAGAAAAACACGTACCAACTAATACGCTGTGAATATGTTTGCATTAGCGCTTTCGTATTGCCAAGGCCCTTCTTTGACTCGTTTATCTGCATTTGTGCTTCTGTACCAAGTCTCTTGCGAAAAGAATGGAGATATACTCGCAAGCACACGAAAGTACGCTGGTCCAATTATATAAACAGAATAGTTACTGAGACACAGAACAGCCTCGGAACTGCCCCTGCAACACTGTAGAACAGCGCTTGTCTATATCTACGTTCCCTTTCATTGTGACGAGTACCCATTAGTTGAGCAAGCAAATACTTTGAATAAGTCATCCTGTGTTTCTGTGTGCAGGATAGGCCAATCGTGAGACCCTCCTGCCAGTTACCTCTCCGATAAGTTTCAGTGCGAGTCCAAACATCGGCTTTCTTCGTCTGCTATAAGGTAAGAACAAGAATGCTTTCCTGGCATGGACTGAATAATATATTCGATCGAGCCTTGCATACATCCGCACAGCTAGAAAACGAACATACTGCCATTGTTGTGAATAATTAACCTTTCATGACCACAAAGGCAGCTTGGTTGCATGATTTGATTAAGCCTGAAGAGTATCTGGAATGAAAGGTCAGAGAAGCCAAGAAGCCAATAGTGGCTGGCGGTGACGTGGCTGCTACTCGCATCAGAGCATACTCTAAGTCTTTCACAAGAAGGTGTAACAGTATCTTCAATACTTGCTTGCTCTTATTCTATATTACCCCGCCGCGGTGGTCTAGTGGCTAAGGTAGTCGGCTGCTGACCCGCAGGTCGCGGGATGGAATCCTGGCTGCGGCGGCTGCATTTCCGATGGAGGCGGAAATGTTGCAGGCCGGTGTGCTCAGATTTGGGTGCACGTTAAAGAACCCCAGGTGGTCGAAATTTCCGGAGCCCTCCACTACGGCGTCTCTCATAATCATATCGTGGTTTTGAGACGTTAAAGCCCACAAATTAATCAATCTCTTATCTTATACAATGTTTGTTGTAGGCATAACATCAAGGTGCTGTAGTCCTTGCTTGTAGTGCAAAAGGATTACTTAACTGACATCTTAAGCTGCCACTAATGCTTATATATTGGGACTGAACAAGAGTAACGACACCGATAAACAATGTCCTGGCCTGCAGTTCGTGGGGAACTAGCGATTTCAAGTACTAATGTCATTAAATAGGAAGCACGTTCTCTTGAGTAATACATTAATAAAGAATTGTTATGAACATTAGGTCGTGCAACGCAGCAAACTTGTTATCATTACTTCTGGAAAAAAAGTTATTTAAACGTAATCTCTGATAAGTATTTCAAAACAAAAATCAAAATCACGCAGCTTGATCGGGATGCGAATGTTCAGCTGGTGATGTATGAATATGAACAATGAGCTGCAGGCAACAAGCGAAGTGGGTCACACTGCAATTGCCACAGAAATTTATAGTAAGAATATCAATGGAAGAGCTACTATGCATGATATACCACTGCATGTCTGAAAAATACAGTAAAACATAATGGTGATACAATAAAAAAGCAAATGAATATTTACCTTCTTGTATAGGTTTACGCACTGCAAATAGTGTTTGTAGAGTGATTTTTCTTATTGTACAAAACAAGTAAGTGACCAGATTAGCTCATGGAAGCTCAAAGATTGGAGAAAGCCTAGAGAGGAGAGATAATATTTTCGAAGGAAACAGTGTTTCGTTTGCTATTCTTGTGCTGTACTACAAAAATACTATGAAGATGGAAGGACATCAGTTGGTCGACATTATTCTTCTGCTTGTGATCAAAATGTGTCCTTACTCGAATGGTGCCTTTTTAGCACAAAACCTGATAGAGCCTACGCAAACATCTAGGCAAGAAAGCTATAAAGCCGGGTGTGTTAAATGAGGTGAAGGCACGTAATACACTGTGCTTTCGACTTGATTCATTGTGGAGTACTACATAAAGACGTGAGCTACTTTTTAGGTGAAATTTAGCATTTTGGTAGCCATGTGCTTTCAACAGGTGGTACGTATTTTTGCTGTCTGTCCCTATTAATTTATCCAAAACTCCAGTGTGATATTTCCACATTTCTTGTATGCTCTCATTTTCTTCTTTGTAAATGTGTCTAAAACATACCTTTCAGCCACTCGTCGTAACATTGCCGTATTTCCCTTACGTTACTTACATCTGTAATCCGTTAATCCTGCTCTCCGTGGTACCTTAGGAGAAAACCACTATTTCAATCACTCGCCGGCAATTTGGACCCATCTTCACATACGCCCATTTCCGCTGTGATACTCATTGATTATTTTCGTTCATTGCTAATGCAACTGCAGCATTATCAATTGGTATTTTGCTTGTACTGTGATCTGATCGCTGTTGTAGGTTTGTTGGTTCATTATAATTGCACCTTTCATTTTTAATAGAGCCTCTTGCCACTCTTGGTTTGTTTCTATCATACATGAGCCAAAAAACTTATTGTGCCCTCTTCCTATCGTAGCAGCGTCCACCAAGTTCTTTGACTCGGCAGAACACAACACGTGGAAGATTGCATAATAGGCAGAAAGCACAAACCGTGAGGACACAAGTTCTGAATGCATCGAAAGCAGTGTCGGACTTAGAAGTCGATATAGCCGGAAAAGGCACGGAGAAAATAACCAAGAAAAAAAAAACTGAAACGATAGCATGGGGTGCACAGAGTCGAGCCTCTCTTGCCATCAGCTCTTCGGAAGCATGACAACCTCGAAATTGAGTTAACGTGACTGCCGTGAAGTGGTGCACAGTTGCCGCGGGGTACTCTCGCTCATTGCCTGCACTTACATCTGAGACAAGACACTGGGACAGTAAAGCCAGTGGTACTTTTTACTTGAGAAGCCTTCAGCACGTCGGAACGGAACCGTTCACTTATGAGGCAGTCGTCTGGGACAATGATGTTAACGCAGCCTACTTCTAAGAGCAGCCATTTGGGTGTTTTGTTCGGGCAACAAAAGAAGTGGCTCTTGTAATTTGCTATAGGGTGAGGGGTGGTGGCAAATTAGGTGCTATTTTATACCATAGCAAATGAAGTGCCAACGCTCGTAGCAGATAAGAGTGAAGCACTTGTCTCCTGATGTCGGTGCCATATATTCGTTGAGCGTGGACTCCAGGAACAGACTCTCTAGCTGTTGCTCAACGTGGCTTGTAGGTTCGTGTACGTGGTGTTCTTTCCACAAATCCTTAAGTTTGTAGGGAAGATTGATATGCGCAATTTGTACACAAAGCCAGAATGAGAAAGAACACAGACAAGTGTTGTTACTCTGTCCTTGTGCACCGATTGCGAACGCCTATTCAAGCTTCGAGTAGGAACTACCTCCCCCCCCCCCCCATAAAAATTGATTGTGCACGCTTACAAAATTGAAGCGACATGTATATGCGATAAGTCTACGTTTCATGCAATATTGTATTCCTAAACCTAATGTAAACACTAAGTCATACTGTTTATTCAATAGGTGCTTTTTTGGGGCGTTTTCCATTGCGCCCGCTGCTGCCCAGCATTGACTCTCGAAAGCTCGAGGTTTTTTTTTTAATAAAAAACAGTGCAGAATCTCCAGAATTTTCCAGCTTTAATTGTGGAGATTTGGTGAATTCATTGCTCAAAAACTTTTAGAAGCTTAAATACCGGCAAATGTAATGAATAATAGTATGATCAGCCTGTTGGCATTCC